GTCCGTAAACGGCTCAAAAAGAGTCAAAATATTTTCAAAATTGTATGGTGTATAGGAAATGCTAATATAAACATTCAGTGAAGTTTTCATGTACCTACAGTAATTCGTTTTTGAATTACAAGAAAATAAGGAAATCGCCACATGAGAAATCGAGTGAATATCCAATGTTGTAAAAATTTGAATTTCAAACGCTCATAAAAATTTAATTTGACTTTCTTATAGAATTTTTTTTTTTGATAAATGTAGGAAATCTTATAAGGAATCTTGTATTACATTTTCATATCTTAGATTTAAAAAAAAAATTTTTTAGGAATTTCTAACCCGAAATAATTTGCAAATTTTCGTGATTTTTCCATATTTTGTCATTTTTTGAACTTTAAATGCTTTAAAAAAAAAACTGTGACTAACGATTTTTAATATTTTTCATCTGTCTTTGAAACAATATAGTAGGAGCCTTGTATTAAATTTTCAAGTGTTTTTACTCAACAAATAAATTTTTATTGATATTCATAAAAAAAAAACTAATAAAATTGGAAACTGAAAATGTCCCTAAACAGTTCAAAATAAATCAAAAATAATAACTTTATTTCAACAATAACGTATCTTTACATATTTTAACAAAATATTAAATATAAATTAATAATTAACAAAATTGCAGCACCGCCAAAAAACAAAACTTGTGCTGGGAGAGCAAATTCTTCAAAGTAATAAAATATGTAAAATATAAGTATAAGCATAATAACAAATTATCATTAAAAAGGTGGGCAAGTGGGTGTCGCTCTGCTATAATAAATTCCAAATTAATCATATCACAATAACCATTAGGTACTTATAAGTTATAACGCGTTATACATAAAAAAAAAAACCATGATACTATCATAGATATATAATAAAACACTTTAGAAGTTTCAAGTACCCACGAATAATATTATTCAATCACAACAAAATAACTAAAATAGTTATTCTAGGTTTTTTAATATGTAATTTCGTCCAAATTTGAATTTAAAATGTCTGTAAAAAATTACTGTGTTCATATATTTTTTAGATTTTTTGGTTACAGTATGAACTATTTATGAGAACCTTTGTTTTAAATTTGCAATCCTTAGCTATAAAAACTGAACATTTTATAAGTTATTAATTACAATGATTGATAATTTTCGAGATTTTGATAAATTTTGTCAAAATTCGATCTTTAAATGCTTATAAAAAAAAACTGTGAATATGTATTTTTAATATTTTTCAACTGATATTGTAACAATATATCAGGAGCCTTGAATTACATTTTTATACTTTTTGGGCCAACAGAAAAAACTTTATTGATATTTATAGAAAAAAAAACTAAAAAAATTGAAAACTTAAAATGTCCGTAAACAGCCCAAAAAGATTCAAAATATTTTCAAAACTGTATTGGGTATAGTAAATGCTAATATAAACATTCAATAAAATTTTCATGTCTCCAACAAATAAAATTTCATTGATATTTCTAGAAAAAAAACTAAAAAAAATGAAAAATGAAAATGTCCCTAAACAGTTCAAAATAAATCAAAATATTTTGAAAATGTTATCGTGTATAGAAAATGCAAATATAAACAACCAGTGAATATTGCATGTATCTACGATCATTTGTTTTAAAGTTACACCAAAAACCAAAGTCAATTTTCTGAAAAATCAATTTTGAGTAAAAATTCCCGTTTTTCCTTAATTTTTCTTTTGTTTTTCTCGGCACTTTTGAAAAGTACTGGGAATTTTAAATTTTGACCTCCCCAATACACCAACGATAATCACTTTCCAATCGAACAAGATACTAAAGTCAAAAATTGAAGCATTTTTTGGACTACTTATCGTGTACACAGACACAAAAAAATGAAAAAATAAAAAAAAACACACATCATTGTAAAATCAATACATTCATCGTTTCACTCAGAATCTAAAATGTAACTAGAAAATCGATTATGGTGTAGGTACTTAAATAATTGTCAATCGTGTCAAAATACCCGATCTTATACATTTATATACAAAGTGTAACAATAATACTTGACGAACAAAAAAAATGATTCTACTTATAAACGTATGACAACAATATTCTTAAAATTATATGATAAGTAAATAATTTAAAAAATATACTCTTGTCAGCGAATTCCCAAAAAAAATATTTTGAAAAAAGTTATTCCGTTCCTGCAAATTCGTTTAATTAAAAAAATATTGATATTTTAAAAAAGTCTACAAAATAAACTAATTGACTTAGATGAATGATTTTACTATCAAAATTGTTCTTATCATCAGATACACGAATTGGCTAATTTGAATTTATCCAAAAAAAATTGAATCAAATTTTCAATTTTTATTATCGGTGTTAAAAAATAAAAATAATTTGTTGTATAATATATGTGTAGCGCAAGTAACTATAAATTAATAATTATATATATAAAAACAATTTTAAATATTGATTAGAACAAAAGTTATTCCAAAAGTCAGTTCTATCTGTTAAAACCTGTATACTTGATACTATATACAAGGAGTCAAAAGTATAAAATTATCGGTAAATTTTAAAATATACGAAAAAAAATACATAATATGTAATACAGTGGCGTCCGCAGGATTTTTTAATGGGGGGGGGGGGTCTTGAAAATTAGTTACAATTTTATTTTTATTTTGTCCAGTCTAATAATTTCAGAAGTTTATTTGAGGTATTTTAAAATGTTTGTAACTTTTCAACTTTTCTGGTAGAAAAAAGTGCTCCGATCATAAACTTCGATGCCCAGTGTATGTTTTTGGAAGCAAATTGGATCTAGTTGGTGCTTTTAGGAGGTCGAAATTGAAAATGCTCAGTGCTTTTAAAAATAATTGGAGAAAAAAAATAAATTGTTTGGTAACCAGCTTGGTTATACCGTCCTCACTTGGATTGTATTTGATTAACTAAACATTTGTTTTTTTCTATAAATGTCAATAAAAAATTATTAATCCGGTCATAAAGCTTAAAAATGTAATACGAAGTTTCTTTTATTATAGCTAAAATATTAACGATAAATATAGGCATCATAATGGTTATTTTTTATAAGCATTTAAAGTTCAAATTTCGTCATTAGCACAGTTAATTTGTAGTTCAAAACTTATAAGATATAAAATATGTATAGCTAAGGCTAGATAATTTAATACAAGGTCTTTCATACAAGTAGTTCATACTTTTATCGAAAAATTACAGATAATTTATGAAAATTGGTACGCAAATACAAAGTTTTTTTCAAAAATGAATTCATTCTGGTAAGACATATATGAAATTTACGTCTTGCTTACTATAGTTGGCAGTTTAAGCTTGATTAATATTTTTTTGAAAAAGTAATAATAGTACGGGTAATGGGGGGGGGGGTGGTGATTCCCACTTTAGCCACCCCCCTGAGGACGCCACTGATGTAGTACCTATATTAAATATTAATGCACCCGTTCTATCGCATTTTTTTTTCTTCGTATATTTTAAAAATTACTTATTCACGTTACACCAGTTTTAGACAAAATCGATTACATTTTAGATTCTCAGTGGAGCGATGAGTGTATTGATTTTACAGTGATGTGTGTTTTTTTTGTTGATATTTTTGTTTTGTGGCGGTGCGTGCACGATATAATTAGTCAAAATAATGCTTCTATTTCCAACTTCAGTATCTCTTTCAATGGGAAAGTGAATCTATAGTTGGTGCATTGGAGAGGTTGAATTTCCCAGTAGCTTTCAAAAGCTCAAATTTTGTCTTAATACATAATAAAGCTCCTAATATATTGTTACAAAGACATTTGAAAAACATTAAAAATTCATTAGAATTTTTTTTTTTATAAACATTTAAGGTTCAAATCTTGACAAAATACGAAAATGTAAAAACTATTTTGGGTTAGAAATTCATAACGACCATTTTATTTTTAAATCTAATATTTGAAAATTGAATACAACATTCCTCATAACTTTGTCAATCTTTATCAAAAAAAAAAAAAAAAAATGTCTATCGTAAAGTCAAATTACCTACATTTTTAGGCAGGAATACGATTGAGAACGGTCATTATTGGCGATACCTTTTTTAGACCCTTTTGACTATTACGATTGAGAACGCTCAGTTTTTATTTTTCCGCGCAACGTTGCCAAACTTTGCCATATAAAAATCGACTATGGCTATAGCCTATATAAATATATATGACTCTTAGCACTGCTCACACACTGTCTATGTAGCAGGAATAAACGTCTTTAAAACTCAATATTATTCAACAGGGTACTGTTCAAAAGGCATCAAAAGCAGATGAAGAAAAAATTTCAAAAACAATATAGTCTTATATTAACTACTGTCAAAAAAAATCTTCTGAAGGATTAATAAAATATTAAATATTTAACACATCTGGGAAATTTATATATATTAATATATATAAATTATTTTTAAATGTTTGTATTATTGGTAGGTACCAATAATACAGATTTTTTTTAAAATTATGACATTTTTAAAATTTATAATTTTTAATTATTTTATTCAATGTTTTATTTCATTTTTATTTTGACTCGAATATAGTTCGGCAACGTTGCACTTAATTTCGTTCTCAATAGTACTGTTTTATTGGGTCAGCGGTTATTTCATTGTTCCATTTCGAGTGATCTCAATCGTACGCTAAAAAAGGTCGAACGTTCTCAATCGTATTACAGCCCATTTTTATCAGCGTTTTCGGATACTGCAATAATGTTATATTATTGAATTTAAATTTAACACCATCGGCCACTATACACATATAGTGACCCACTGTACAGCGGAGCGACACCACTTTTTTTTTGCAATTCAAAAACCAATTAGATAAATGTAATTTTTACCGATTTCTTACCGATTGATATTGATGCCGTCATATATTTCTTTCGAAGTAATAAAATCTTGAAAATTGTATACAAGGTCCTTAACTCACTAGTTTTTCTTTCACAGCGATTCAACAATTTTGCAAGTACCTACCTATAATTTGATCGGTGGTAATATAATTTAATACTAATTATACTTACATTGGGCCAAAATGTTTTCGATATTGTTTATCGATGTATTTAGTAATTCAATTTGACCGCCTACAGCATAAATAGCTCCAAAAAAATACGTATCAATTCCCAAGTATATCATTACGATGAACACCGACGCAAAAGAATAGCAGGCAAAAACCACTGGAAACATCCAATTTTCGTTCAACTTGAATGGCATCCAACAGCTCAACCAGTAGCTTTTTGGATCGTTGTAGTATTGAGAATCAGATTGATCGCTAAAATACGAACAGTATAGGTAATTAATAATTATTACAAATTGTAAATTCCTCCCGAAGTGAACAGGTAAAAAGAAGATCTATGTGTAAATTATAATTATCTATGTAAATTACACTCGAAAAAATATGCAGGTAAAAAAAGGTACATGTAAATTCCGCCCGAAAAAATATTCCTGGATCCGGATACAGAAACACTAGTACACTACCTATATTATATTGTAATGTATAAACAGTAATATGTTCCAAAAAAATTTTTTTCAAGGGGGAGGGAAGTTGTAGATTTTCAGGTACCAGCTAATATAGCCTTTAAAAGACCGACCATATTATAGCTAATTAATAAACGGAAAACTCTGATTTCATTTTTTTCCCCTAAAATATGTCTTAACAATATAAATAATTAATGATATAATAATTTAAGATAATTTAAAATCAATAATTTTCTAATATTTATTTGAATATATTCATAAATAAGTTTTTTTGGAGTGATTAAAATACTCTGACATTTTTTTAGAGCATTTCCAACGGATGCCTGTTGATGGATAATAAGCTGCTGTTACACAAATCATTTCTTTTAGCGATTTCAAAATCACTATACTATACTAGTAACCCTTTAACCTCGGGATCGGACAACGACTATTTCTTATATGCGTACCGTGCCATCGATTTTATATAGGTACCTACCTAACAGTGTTGGGAAGGAACGCGTTCCTTTTATAGGAACGAAGCTCGGAACGCGTTCCATTTAAAATATAGGAACGAGGAATGGGAACGAGTTCCTATTTTGAAGGAACTTGAACGAAAATTTCCGTTCCTCAAATAATGAAAAAAAAAATCTAAAAAAGTCTACGCTATACAACTTTTGAATTATAACAAAAAAATCTAAGACAAATCATTTTTGTTAAAAATCGGTGCTCCTAGAAAGGAGTGAGTTAACCGATTTCAGTGGTGGTCAATGGTGTTTTTTGCGAAAAATTTTTAAGTCAGAAATAATCGGATAACTCTCTCGGTTCGATTATTTCTGACTTAAAAATTGTTCGCAAAATACACCATTGACCACCACTCAAATTGCAAAAAAAGGAACATGAAGGAACGGGAACGCGTTCCTTTTTAAAAAGGAACGGGAACGCGTTCTTTTTTCGGGACAGGAAAGAGGAACGGGAACGAGTTCCTTTCTTACAGTAGGAACGAGGAACGGGATCGAGTTCCTTTTTAAAAGGAACTTTCCCAACACTGCTACCTAATTTATTTATATTTTATAATATGTCAAGTAAGGGTAGTGTAACCACTGGGTGACTCCTCCCATCACGTTTGCATGTTATAAACTTTTAAAATATCACATATTCTTATTGTTCCTAAAAGAACAGATTGTATATACCTTATAAATAATAAAAAAAAAAAAAAAAATTATGATGGGTTATTATGGGTATTTCATATATTTTTATATTATAATACACATTACAGATTAATTTTGATATCTTCATTACTTTACACAATACCTTCTATTATGCCTACATTATTTTCCTATCTACCTTACCTTTTATTACTGCGTATATTAAGTTTTAAAAAAAACAAATCAATTTTTATTATTAATTAATGTTATTGCAATTTATTGTTTCGTATTTGATTGACCCGCGTCCGTCGCTTATGTCATTATTATCATTCTCCTCAGAATCCCCTGAATTACAAATGTGTGTACCAAATCTTATAACGTATATTTGAATCTTAACCGTAAACCTTTTTAAATAACAATATTTTCAATAGTCCAATACTCATTTTTTAGTATCCATTTAAATTAATATTTTTTGTTCAAATATCATAAGCATTGATCACATAATAAAAGATTTATTATACTGTAATATAGTGTGATGTTATCGTAAATTACAATTAAATATTAATAAATTCGAATAATGATCTCAACCATGTTATGTTGTATGCAAAAGTAGGTATAATATAATAAAGTTAACAACTCGAAATTAGTTCTGCTAAATTTGCTATATTCTAACATAGTTTTTGACGTTCATAGTACATCTGCTCTGCTGCATATTAAAAATACCGTGTGTGGTATTTCGCTATAGATAAAGTGATAAACCGATAAAGAGTGTTATTCTTTTCCATTGACCTTTTTGGAGTCGAAATCATAAGTGTGCAGTTTTAAGATGCAACCCATCCAATGGGTTTCCCTGGAGAAACCCTTTATTTTACAGCCTGTTGAAGAAATTGAAAGAAGCAAAATAATAATAATAACCAAAGGTGAGCATTAACTTGTTAAAAAGTTAAAGTTAAAAAAGTTAAAAAAAAATTAACTTTTTAACTTAACTAGTTAATAATTTTGTTTTTAAGTGATTAACATATTCAGTTAAAATGTTTATTGTTGTAACTTAACTTTTTACAGTTAATTATTATTAACGTGTAGTTAAGTTAATTTTCTTTGCGAGTAATCAACTATAGACAATACTGGTTCGGCGACTCTCTTTAGATTTTGGTAATTTATTTTCGAATTATATACTATAATGATTTAATTTTTTACACAGTGTTAAACGTCCTGGTAAATGTTTGCGTATAACAAAATACTATACCAGTTTATGACTTAAAAATATTGTACCTGGAAAAAAATTAACTTTTTTTTTTACTGAGATAAGTTAATTTTGCTGTCTATCTCAACTATAAACTTATCTAGTTAAATAATTTTTTTTTTTTTGTTAACTTTTGATTTAACTGAAGGCAATTTAATTGAATTAACTTAAATTGCCCACCTTTGATGACATGACAATATAATATAGGTAGGAAATGATAAAAAAAAAATTGCATTCGCATTACCCCTTCGGATAGGTCAACAAGGGGTAGAGGTCTATGAAAATAGCCGCAACCACACCGCTGAACATATACCAAAAGCTGATGTTTCGCATTGGCTTTAAATAGTTGGACGTAAACTCGTCGGCCGAGCTCCCGTACGCCGCCGATCCTTGAGCTTGTATTACCGTCAACTTGGTTTTGAGCTGGGCAAATTCGCCGTTGAACACAGTCATGTACGACCATTTGTACATGCCCGAGAAGAACACCGTCCAAATGTCTATGGTCCTCGCCAAATGCGATAGGTCGATGGTGGCCACGGATATCTGAACCATCAACAGAACCGTGATCGAGGTCATGACGATAAAAATGATCGCCCGATAAAAGTTTAAAGACCACTGCGTCCATTTCGTCGAGTCACTCGAAGAAAACACGCCGATCGACCGCAGAGTGTTATACGCAAACGACAGATAATCACAATTGTTGTTCTGCATATTTCCCTGCAACGAGTATTTTATAATATTGTTGTAGGTATCGTGGGTCTAGAATAAAAAGGTTCTAAATAGCATTTTTTTTCAAAAGTCACTTTTTGACCAAAACGGTTTTAGAACGCAAAGGCGCATATTTTAAAGGGGTTTCGTCAATTGCGCCGAATTTGGGACACTACTGTATAATATAGTATACATCTATTGCGCCGGTATAAAAAAGGTATACATCTATTGCGCTGATATTAAAAAGCAAATTTAAATAGAAATAATTTACATACATATATTACATACAAATTTATCTTTCTGATGAAGTTATTAGGAGGATGATGTTCATGTTTAATTTCTTCAAATAAAATTGTAGTTTTAACATCATCTACGTACAACTTAGAGCTGCAAATGTTGTGTGCGCAACAGTGGCGTATTTACGATTTTACGGATTGTATAAAAAATTTTTGAAGCTATAGTTATATCAACATTTTCAATAAATATCGTGATTATTTTTATCAGTTGGGTACCGGAAATGGTTGAAAAATACCAAATTCATTCTTTAATTCAAATATTTTGTAGTTTTGTACATTGCCAGTATCTACAACCACTCCAGAGAGATCTTTTTCAAACTTTTTAAGGTTGAAAAGTTATCTAAGATCAACTATGAATGAAGTAGGTACCTAATGTAATTAAGGAAATATTTGTATAAAAGTTATAACATATAACTATATATTCGATTCTGAGGGATCTATTAGTTCTACAATGGTGTTTATTTTTTTTTCCTGTATACAAAATTTCTTCCAGAAGGAGTGCTTCGATTTCAACATGTATAGACATATAGTAACTTATCTTTTAGAAAATTGGATCAAGATTACTATCTTAGAGAGGTCATTTTTTGATTTTCTCAATAGTTATTTAATGCCACTGTAAAAACCACCAAAAAATTACGAAAAACCTCTAAAAATGGGATTTTAATTTCTAACACTTTGTCTATCACCATAGAAAAAAATAAAAATCAAAGTATTTCATTATTAATTCAACTTACAGGCTATAATAAATAATAACAATATAAAATATCCAGACTGACAAACCGTCTTCGCTCAGAATTGTTTTTCTTATACAATGATATTATATTATATCATTGAGTTCAAGTTTAATACAATCCATTATACATTGACCCACTTGTAACCTACTGTACAGCAGCAGAGTGACATCCACTCACCCGCTTTTTTTTAAATTTGTTTTGTACATTGGTATTATTATTTAATAATTAAAAACTCTACAATTTTATATCGTCTTATAAATATGGTATATTTTATTTAATAAAGAGTAAATGGGTGGTGTGGGGGGCTTCGTCCCCCGTGGCTCTGTGTTCTGGAGTTCTGGACCCTCCCCATGACAAATTCCTAAATACGCCACTGGTGCACAATGCCATTTATGCCCTTTTTTGGTAAATTCCTTAAAAGAAAATTTATAATTTTGGTAAATAATTAGTTCGTTACCACGTTCACTTAATAGTTAATACAGTTTTCATTATAAATTGAAGCACTAGCCACGACAACTAAACGAACGAGTATACGAACAACGCATGGAATTGTACTGCACAATATTATGGATTTACCTATAACCTAACATGATATTTGTCCACCTTTTGTAATTTGTTTTATCTTCAAGTAATAAAATAATATAATTCAAACTTACCTATGATATAGATATACGATATAGATGTATTAGATTAAAACACGTATAAACCGATATGTAGTTATAATCAGGGCTTTGCACCCGTATCATTTATTCGGGTTTCGGGTTTCGGGTGCTGGATATATTCGGGTGTTTGAATAAAAAGTTTAAACAAACATTCGGGTTTTCAAAACCACTATTATTCGGGTTAATATTGGTTAATACGGGTGCTTAGTAATCTGGAAAAAAACATAGCTTTTGATGAACCCCCCCCCCCCCCCCAAAAAAAAAAAAAAAATTATTTATGCAATGACTTATTATGTTATGTTTAATTAAATATATATTTCCAACACGAATTTTCAACATTTGTTTTAGACCAAACTCGTATTAATGTACCTACAGTAGTTACATTTTTTTAAGAAATTACAAGAACTAAGGCGATGGGAAATTAATTAGTTACCTATTCATTTTATTGGATGCATTAGAGTCTATATCACTTATGAAAATCCATGTACCTTAACTCTTAAGGCTTAAATTCTTAACATACATTTTATAAGTTCCAAATACCTACTCTATCTGTTTACTATTTTAAACATAGGTATTAAGTGTGAACCCAAACAACCAAACAAATACCTACATTATCTACTTACCAGAACTGGAGTTCAATCAAGGGTATTTAAATACTATATTATTTTATATTGATTAGTTATTAGGTTCCTACTTCCTAAAGATATAAGTTATACTTAAAACTGTTATTAAAATATAACACATCCTAACCTAACGCCACTGATCTAAAGTAATAACAACTATTAGGTAATATAAAATAAATTAAAAAATAATATAATATACTTACAAATGTTACAATAAATTAATAATAACAGCAGTCAGCAACAAAAATTGACAATATTGACTGCGCGATAGGTTCGTCGTATTGTGATACAAATTACAAACATAACAATTTACCACTAGCGAAATCGACGGATATAATAAAATGTTTAAAATAGTTAGGTAATAGGGGCGTTCAGCCGTAGAGAAACAAAATAATTCCGGAAAACTGGTAAATAATAAATATAGCCTCGAATTATGAATTTATGATATTCGTTAAAAATAGTTTAGAAATAAATGTATAATAATACCACTTGGGAAGTTTGTTGCAAATAATACAAAGTATTATTAATTATTAGTATTTGATATTTTGGTCACGACTGTCAATACGTTATTCAGTTCTGATGAGACTATGTCTATATGTATTATTTTATATTACTATAGGCTATATTTGGATTTATTTTATATACAAATAAAGTAATAAATCTATATTAGGTAAAATAAATAATTTAGTATTAGGCGATTAGGTCTTTAATCAAAATCAAATAAGGATTTCATTAGATTTTATTTTTAAGAAAATGATTATTGAATTACAACTAACTAAAGAATCGAACTCGCCAGAAGAAATACATATAAAATGATATATCACATGAAGAGTTTGTAAAAATGAAATTATTCGGGTTTCGGGTTAACCCGAATGATTTGTTCGGGTTTTGGTTAATACGGGTGTTTTGAAAATAGAATCATTCGGGGTAAATGGGTTTCGGGTGTTTGAATTTTTAAGGGTGTTTAGGGGTGTTAGGGGTTCGGGTTAATTCGGGTGCAAAGCCCTGGTTATAATAGAAATAGTATTATAGACATTTGTATATATTTAAGAATCGATCAGCGTAATTAACGTACACCATTTATTACATTGGAATATCGATCGGCGCAGTAGATGTATACCTTATTCCTAACCCATAATTTTTCTTTTTTTACCTGCGATTTCCGGTGCAATTGATATATGCCCATTTTAAGAGGACGCATTCGTCGTCTCCGTCTTACACACGTACGACATAGCAAATTTTCGTTTACTAGTTTCATTAGTATGCTCAGTGTTGGGTAGTAACGTGACGAAAGTAACGCGTTACTTTGCTATTGTAACGCGTTACGTAATTTCATTACGATTATTTACAAGTAACGAAAATTACTTTTGAAAAGTAATTCCTATAGAATAACGCTCTACAGTTTTGAATTATCAAGTACCTACCTACCTTTATTGCGAATTGAAAAAAATATATATGTATAATGCGAGTATTATTATGTTTACCAATCTAATATGTATATTTAATTTTAACTCGCAACAATTCAGTTTTCAATGGTTGTCTAATTGCACCGCACAAATCACGAGTACAGTTAATTAAATTTATTATTTAATTTGATTCCTTTAAATAGGTTTCCTATGAATAGCTTGTGTGGAAGACCAAGTTTTATACGATCCCATTAACTATACAGGTTTTATAAAGAATTTTCTTGTTCAATTTGCCTGCAGAAGATAATTGCCAAGAAATTTAAAATTTTTTATTTTTGTAACTAGAAAGTAATGAGTTACTTTTCTATTTGAAAAGTAAAGTAATTTTGTTACAATTTTATTTGAGTAACGAGTAAATTAACTTAATTACATTTATCTCTTAGTAACGAGTAAACTAACTTAATTACTTTTTAAAAGTAACTTACCCAACACTGAGTTTGCTGTTAGTTTTGATATTAGAGTGATTTTACCTATTATCATTTTTTTTAGATGATAACATTATCTGTGCTTAAGCGTTGGCTTTTATTCGATATTTTAATTTTCAAGCGAGATGTGAGCATTTTGAATTTTTAATATTTCACATACCTACCTACTTATATCTTGGTTGAAAATGAAAATTTCGAAAAATCAGACACGCTTAAGCACAGATATTGTTCTTACCTAAAAGTTTTATAATAGGTGAATTCACTCTAGTATCAAAACTAAAAGCACACAAGTAGTATATATTTGTATGTTCACAGCCAGCTTTTCCACGGTAAAAAAAATTGTTCAAGCGGGGAATGTCCGCTTGAAGCACTCCGATTTACCGCGTAACATAATACACAGATTTCACACTGATTGTCTACTAAATTTCGTCACACAAAAATACTTGTCATTTACTAAATTTTTTTGGTAAATCTTAAAACTGAAATAATTATTTCAAGTAAAAGAACACAAATTATTAAATCGTAGTTTTTTTTCTTGTTATAAATAAATTCTTAATTATATTTACACATGTTTTCTTACTTCTTTAGTAAAAGGTGCATATTCTACAATACGATCATGAATTAATAAACAGTAAGCAGTCCACCTGTGAGCGATTCTGAAGCTTCAATTTCCAATTGAACATTAACTGCTGAGACTGTGGTTGAATCGTTCTGTTTTGAAGTATCGACGACTATAATCGGGGTGTTTGTTAGAAAAGTAGAAGGACTCGATATCGGGTTACGAATACTTTTTTCAT